TGTGTAATCATAACATTTTTATGAAGTTTATCTTGTCATAAAAAACATTATAATCATATCTGATTACCATTAATTAATCTACAATCATAGTATTGTGTCCCAAATATTAAATATTAATCATTATTATCATTCATTGATGCAAAGTTAATACTAAATGCCCGCATTACCATGTACTAACTCTTAAGTCCTATCTACACCCCCACAACTCAATTATAAATAAATTTTGAGCTTATCTTGTACATAAAATGTCTAAATTAATGTGTTGTGTTTGGTGACAAGAATGCTCTAGACTYCAGCCAAGAARACWGCAAAGTRYGGGTTGGTAGTAKYAAGGMTTGATAAAGTTATCCYCCYGTTWAWYWTATCCACTCCTTAGATTTTGTATGGGATATTATCCACTAGATAAGGATATATCTGMTGGATAGCACTATTCAACCTTTGTACCACCAGCCCCTCAACCATAATTTCATTGATGTGAAATTCAAAGTTGTCAGATTCAAAATGAATGCATCATTGAAGCTTAGACAGAACAATGTCGTCTCTTTTTTTCAATTATTTGTAGGTTCAGTATTTTCAATCTAATAATGCAAGAAAAGTCATACTTAGTTTACCATATTAATTATTACTTTGAGTCCCAATAATGTTGTCCTGTTGTTAAGACATAAGGTCAACAACAAGGCCATTAGCAATCAACTGCCAAGTTTTTGAATTTTTGCTAGCCTGTGTACATCCGTTTCCACCCCTCTCCCCTGTGGGAGAAATGTTTTTGTGAGGGGTGAGAAACGGATGTAAACGGGCTAAATTTTTGCAAGAATATCTAATTTCAAGTTGCAAAATGTCAGTACATAATTTTTGCAAGAATATCTAATTTCAAGTTGCAAAATGTCAGTACATAATTTCATAATATAATGTACGGACATTATAGTTGTTTAATGTCTACACAACTGGACAACATTAGTGGGAATGACTGTATATAGTTTATTTAATGCTTATCATGAATAGAGTATGACCAGCCAGAAAAGTCATTAAAGCATTACAGATGGTTATCCGGCGTTATTTGGTTAGCTACTCATGTCCTGAAGTGGCAGACCGTCGGCAGAAGAGTACCCCCTGTTAACAACAAATCAGATGTTAGAGATGCTGCYTACATCTTACCTCAATGACGRCCAGCAAGTCTCCTAAGRTCTTCACTATTGTCATCCTCATATACATTTTCAAATTTGTGAATTACTGATGGAATACTAAAAGAACAGTTGTGTATTAATGATATTACTCAATTAATAGCCATTTTTGCCAACATGGCAGCCATCTTGAATTTTGAAGAAATTATGGGATATCCAAGATGGCGGCTATATTGACAGCCTATTATTTCATGGGTTATAAACAACCTAATGAGCAAAACTGACATATACAGTAGATAACTATTGGGCTATAGGGCAAATAATCTAACTTAACTATTATTTGACTACTGTTTACCTTTGCTATGCTGTCAAAGCCAGAGTGCAACGCAGGAGCCATAAAAATTGCTTTTCTAAAGTGAGTTTTTGTAAGCTTTTCTGCACACCATTAGCCCACAAAATGTTGCCACACAAAAACAAATTGCCAGCGCATTCGCAACAAGAAAAAGTATGTATGGTTACAGTTTGAACCAAAAAAGAATTTCAACCTATTCATTGATTGATAAATAGATAGTTAGATAGACTGGTTTATTGAGAAAAAACATTGCAGTAAAATTACTGAATTGTGTCCAACTTTACAAAAACTAAATCTATGAAATCTACAAAATAATTGCACTTATAATTAAAAATATATGATAGAAAGCTAAAATAGCACTTATAAAATGTCAAGATGAAGACTTTGCGATCACTGGGCAGCATACAATGAATGAGTTTGCAAAACGCTCTGTCTTTACGACTGGTATGCGAAATGGCTAACAAAATCATGGATACAACTAGAACCTTGAACATTTTCATAATAAAATCAATATTTCAGTTGGTTTCGCTCACACAAAAACTACCCTTAGGACAATAGTATTAAGTACCAACCTTTTACCAAACTTGATGTGAATAATGAAGAAGCAAATGCCTAGAACCAAGCACAGGATACCAACAGTGATGTAAGCAATGCCAAGGAATGGATTTTTGCCACCTATCCATGAGGTAGTACTGAGGATAACTCTTTTTTGACCATCAAAATGAACAACAGGATAGTCTAGGGTGATGTTAAGGCTCAATGTGATAAATTAAAAACACCTTGATATTAAATAAGACAAACAGCTGCATCAAAACCTAAAATAAATACAAATTGCTTTAMGAATACTTTTATCAACAAACTTATCTGAAAATATTTTGTTTTTAACATTGTTTATCATCAAGATTATAAATTTCTATACATATGGTACCCAGGGCTTGAAATAATGGCCAGTCAAAGGCCAATGTCCTTACAAATTTGCTACATGACCAGCCAAATCAGGTTGTGAAAGGACAAATTAATCTGCCACATTTTTAGACAAATCAATTCTCAATTCACTAAATAAATCTTTTACATGCCATTAAAATGCTTGCCGATCTTTCTGAATACAAAAACCTATAAATTAAAAGAAAATAATAGTATAATAAAGTTTTTGTCCTTTCAAAACTTGACATGACCTTCCAAAAATGAATTTGGAAGGACATCTTGTCCTGCATATGTCTGGTCGTTATTTTGGGCCCTGGTATTCACTAATAAGTTATGTAACTAAGTTACAAGCTTTAGAAGGGTACTTTCTTCTTTGTTTATTAGTAGAAATATAATCATCATTATCATCGGTGGATATTATCCTACTTTATTCTGGTACAGCCTTTTGCAAAAATTATGAGAATTGTCTAATATCTAAATATAATAATATCCATATATTGTCCGGAACACGCAGGTTTGCTAGAATAATTCATTGTTTACATCGACAAAATGTTCAGAACTACGGATAAGTCCGTCGTCAAAAAAAAACTAAACTACAAAGACAAGGGACTAAGGGCATCGCGCGGGATTACCCATCATGCACTTGATATTATGATATTTAGATATTTCAACAATTCTCATAATTTTTGCAAAAGGCTGTATTACTTCAAAATACTCTATTAATATATAATAACAATGCTCAAAATAACGCCCAGTCAATGTCCTTCCAAATTCGCTAAATGACCAGCCAAATCAGGTTTTGAAAGGACAAATTGACATGCCACATTTTTAGACAAATCAATTCTCAATTTGCTAAATAAATCTTTTACAAGCCATTAAAATTGCTTGCCGATCTTTCTGAATACAAAAACCTATAAATTAAAAGAAAAAATAGTATAATAAAGTTGACATGACCTTCCAAAAATGAATTCGGAAGGACATGTTGTTCTGCATACGTCTGGCATACGTTATTTTGAGCCCTGTAGAGTGCTCGCACTAAATGCATGAAATATAAATACTACAAAATAGGTGATAAATTATACAAATTTCTTTGTTTCCTATTGTATAATCAACACTATTTAGTAGTAATTAGTACTATTTGTTTCACGCTTTAAGTGCGAGCACTCTAACAACTAAAATTATAATCCTTATAATCTAACAAGGGATATTACCACAATACCCTATTTCACTGTAACACACTGATTTAAAGGATACTGTAACTGATATCCAGTCGGTAATCCCCCTTAGGCAGACCCTCATCAAAGGTACCCTCCTTCACAATCTTCCTGTACAGCTTGCGAAAGGTTGAGAAGGCTGCCGTTCGCATCCARACAATAAAATCTTGATTGATAAATCCATTGTTCTTGGGATCTGTAGACAATTCATACACAGGTCTCTGCCAATCACGCGGCTTTGCYAATTTGCTGAAAGCATTTTTGAGGTTTCCAGAGGGGTTCTTGAATTTGACAGTRCTGTCTGATTCCCAGGCAATGTCTTTGTAAGTCAAGTTGACCTTTATTGGAGCACTGRTTTTAGATTTGATGTATGATAACTCAAAGGTATCTGGAAATAGAAAAATAAGAGAAATTTTAAAGAAAAATGAGAGAATTTTGAAGTAAATTCATGATCAAAAACTGCCATAGATAAAAAAGACAAGTGACCAAGGACTGAATTTCTTAGAAGATATTTTCTGTGCTTCTATTCTCTGTTAGAAACATGTGGGATTGTTGTGACAACATCAGAAAAGTTGTGAATCGCAAGCTGAAAGTAATCCCTAAATCTCTAATGCTTTTATAAACAAGTTGCAACTCTTTGCTTGAAAGATTGTTTCTATGCTTTAACAGAAACAAACTTTTTACACATTAATCAACCAATCAATGTGTGTGTTATACAATAGTTCTTGTTATAGAATATACATTAAAACCTACCATTGAACAGACTATTAGCAATGGCACCACAAGGTGCAACTGGCGTGCTGTTGCTGTTTTTATCAAACGGTGCACAGTCTTTGTTAACTGTACTCTTTAGGTTACCATTTAGCTGAAGATCATCCCGGGATCTRACATAACGACGATGATTCTAGAAAACATTGATACAAAGCAGCTCTACATTGTATCCTCAACCAAAACTCARTTGAGTTATTGTGAATGAGTCATTTGTAACCCTGGCCACYCAAACCCAGGGAATGCCAGGGAATWAACACAGAATAGCCAGGAGTTTGACCCTGTTCATAGAGGATCAATCCATACAAAGGCAGGGYGAAATGATCCATTAGGATGTCTTTTTGGCCTCTAAGGGAGAGGAAATACTAGGGCTTATTGATGAAATGTTTATTGCAAAGGTATTGACCTGGGTGTTGGAACCCAGCCTGAATCATTGCTGATGTTTTATTCATCAGTAACTATCTGAATTGTTAGTATAAATAAAATCCTACATATACAGTAGTAGATTAGTGTATAATAAAGCTAACCCAAATAATGATATTTTAATCATCGGGAATTGCTGATGTTTTATTCATGAATAACTGACTATCTGAATTCAAAATAAATAGAATCCTACATTTACAGTAGTAGATTAGTGTTAGAATAAACGTAGCACAAATAATTACTGATATTTTATTCATCAGTAACTGACTAAAAAAATTCAGTGTAAGAACTGGCCCATATTGAATAATTGATGATGTTTTATTCATCAGTAACAGACTCAGTACTAGATTAGCCATAGTGCTCACCTGGTAAAAATTAGATAGACCATAATATAGGAAAACTTCACCAGAYAATTTAGTTGAAAGACTGAATGTAATGCTGCACTTGCASGTTTTTCCAGAATTGTTCACGTTTTTGAAGAAATCATCYCATCCCCCACCAGTYGTAGTYCTYTTACAGTGTGTYTACTCAATATCCTTTTCTTGGACCTGGTAAATTACAATATATTGAAATTATTGGATAGGGATTCGTTGATATTTAATATTATTGCACTTACAACGCATTAATGTGAATAGTGACCTTGGAAATTGACGAAATTTAGAATTCAATAATTGGTTGATTACACATTGTTTTCAAAACCAACTTGACGATAATTTTGTGGTTTGATCAAGTTGCTGTATAGGGGATTTCTAATAGAATTAAGCCTTACATATTTTAATTTTAATACTCAAAAATAATTTATTGCGCTACTTAGATTTTCCTGTATACCCGAACAAAAGATATAACTTAGAATATAAGATATAACAGGCCTGGATAGCTACTTATTATCGAAAAAACTGGATAAATTTCGCTTTGTTTTGCGCTTTCAAAGCGAAATGTATTGACTCGTCGTCATGCAATGTTTTTCGGTATTTGTTTCTGCCTAAATTTAAACTTAATGTTTATCATAATAGACAATTATTTGCGTTAGTTCTTACTCCGTCAGAAGCAACCAAAAGAATGGCTCCGATCGGTATAAAAACGATCCCAACGATGAAGAATACTGGAAGAGCTGTCGAAGCAGTCAAAATCGGTTGCCACGCCTTGAGCCGTTGCTGTTTGAATGCAGTGTCTAAAAACAAGRAAAATATATTCCTYACATTAAGAAGYAATGTTARACAACCACACAGTGTAATATTCGTGAGTTTTGAAGGTATACCTGCAGGTTTTCGCGAAGCTGTCTTCTCCGGCTGCTCCGCCATCTTGGATGCTCCTGACACCTGCCTTCGGTTGAGAGGGACRSCYAGGTACTAAATATGGGACGYGCTTAGCAGYGAATGACGTCATGGCAATAACAACACAGCTATCCCAAWCATAAATATACTTGCTTTTTGTTTTTGCACTGTCCTCACTYWKSTTMTRSTTMTRCTTTWRKWTTWCA